TGTTTAAAAGACTAACAAGAGCTGAAAAAGTAGGTGTGTGGGACACAATTAGATTACTCCAGATCGTATATTACAAAAGAACCATTACAGAAGATCACCCGTTCAACCACACATAACAACTTTATTATCATGACAGACCCGGGGCAACTGAGGTTACTATACTGTCACTGCAGGTAAAGAAGCACAGCTGAAACTAGCTTTATTGTACCAGAGTGAGCTCTGAAAGGTCATTCTGTGAGCAGATGAAGCAATCATGTGTGTTGAATGTTATGGAAGCCTACAAGATTTTGCTAAAGATCATCCATGAAATACAGGCTGATTCCAAGAGAAAGAAAAGCAGAATAAGCCGAGGTTCTAGTAGACTAGTGTGCTGAAGTTAATTGCTTTTTTTTTTTAGTTAATCCCAGGAGACCAAAGCTGTAAAAATAGTCCGGCTGAAGCTTTACATAATGTTGTTCACTTCAAATCTAAATATAGGACATTCTGGTTCATTCAATCACATTAATGTACTGTAAACTAAATGTTAGCTGTATTTCACTGATGTTTCAATTTTATATTTTCAGACTCTTAACATATATATGATTGTCCTATCCTCCTCTTCTTCCCTTCTCTCTTTCTACCTCCCTGTCACTCCCTTTTCTCCCTGTGTGAGGACCAATGTCTCATTTGTGGGGGGAGGGGGGTTTAAAATAATAATAGACCCCCCCCCCCCCATGTTGTAAAAAGCGATAATTAGGTATTCGCTTGAATCGAAAGGGCAGATACCATAGCCTAGCTGTAAATCACAACGCAGTGTACTGACTGTCCTTTTACGGACAAGTGCAGAAGAAGAATAGGAAGAGTCCCTGTCTCCGTCTCCCCATCTCTCCTACTTTGATGCTCTCTCTCACTCCCTCCCTTTCTCTCTTTCTTTCTCACTCACTCTCACAGTTACATAATTTGTTAATTGTTCACACCTGTCCAATCAAAAACACACATATATATATATATATATATATATATATATATATATATATATGTGTGTACTTCTAGATTTATCATGTCCAGTGAGGTTTTTTTATGTATATAATGAGACTTTGTGCTTAACGGTATTAAATCTGTCAATATTGTTATCTGGAAATAAGGGCCTTGTCAGTCTTTAACTCAAACTACTGGACGTAAATTTGCCTAAAAAAACCACGTCCTGTAAAGGTTACGCAACTAACCAGTCTTTAACTAAGGTATGAGAGTAACAATAAAGTTCCATCTTTACCCTTGGGAAAACAGTCTTTACATTATTTGATGTTGATTTATTCTGCACTCACTCACTCATAATACATTTATAAATAATTTTAACACTGGTAATGTACGTTAATCTAATGAAGCAAGTTTTAAATTGTCTAGTCTGTGTTTATAATTTCTAGGTTATGAGCATCGCTCCGAAATTCTAGCATACCATGTTAGAACCAGCTGCAGGTAGTTCAGCAGTAGACCGCTATATGTTTATTTATGAGTGACAGCTGTTCAGAGCCAGTGGCGGACTCATCGTCATCATCATCTATCAGCAGGTCCTTTACATAACGTCGCTTTCTTCACGGTACACCTGAAAGTCTCTTTTTCTCTTGCCAATTCTCCAGCCCTATGTGCTTTCATAGCCGATGACAATGTCTTGTATCCACCTTCACAGAGGTCAGCCTCTGCCCTGTTTTCTAGAAATGGTACCCTCCATCTCTTTTCTCTCTCCAAGTCACCATGACGCTTTACGTGGCCAAAATACCGCAGCTTTCATGACAGGATGCTGTTTATGAGCCAGTTCTCCTTGATGTTTAGATCATGTAGGATGTCTGTGTTTTTGCTTCTTTTTTGTCCATGGTATTCTAAGAATTTTTCTATTGCATTTCATTTCAAAAGGTCCTATTTTTCTTTTCTTTAAAGATTAAGAGTGCATGACTCACAGCTGTAAGTTGCCACGGCAAAGATGCATGATCTCAAAATAAATAATGGCAAACTACTTGCTTAAAATGCTGACGTTGGTTTG